AATAAATCTAATCACAATATGTAAAGTTGATATTTATGATAATTCAGCCTTGTCATATTAAAATAAATGTTCAAAGAAAGAAAAGAAAAGAAAATGACACAATCCAATACTATGTAGAAATAGCAGAAAAAGGGAAGAAAGCATATAACATCTATAAGAGTTCACTGCCATACTTGCAAGTTAGCTAAAGATTCACTGCGAAATTTGATGAGAGTTCATTGTAAAAATTTATCAAACACATAATAGGCATATATGCAACTGTAATAAAGAAACAAACAACTAAAATAAGAAGAAACCCTAAAATATATTATCACTGTAACAAATCTCACACATATTTTTTCTTGTTTCCGCGTGAGCTTTGTATTCACCAAGACCCTCACGTGTTCAAAACGCCATAGTTTTTGCTTTCACTATCGATATAAGAAACAAATACAAAAATCAAATCTCAAACTCATAAAATAAAAACTAACAATTGAGAAACAAAATCTAGAAACCGAGCACAAATTCTGAAAGTTAAAGAAACAAAACAATTGATTTGCAAATCAATACAAAACGATTTGTTGTAACATAAAACAACAAAATTACTTATTGGTTTGCAAATCAAAACTGGAAACCCAAAGCACGTGAATTCAGAAAGTTACAAAATGATTATATGCCATGTTTGAAAAACGAATTTGTGATTTTTGAATACAAAAATCGAAATCCATTTGCAATTTTGATTAAAAAAAAAAGAAAGTGATTCATAGATGAATAAATAGATCTGAATATAAAAGAGATCATAATCAGTAAAGAAACCCTCACTGTCGCCGCCATTTACTTTTTCCAATAAATCCAACAATGCGACTGACGAACCATCGTTTCCTTTTCCGTCACTACAGAAGAGATAAATTTGCACCAAAATTAGAAGACAATATCACATGATTATATGGAAGAGGAACTGAAAAGTGGATAAAAGAGATGGAAGGAACTCTTACCACACCAACCTTCAACAAACCCTAATGGAAAATTAATTCTTTATCATTCTTTACGCCTAAATCTTTGCGTTGTTGATTACACTGACGCATTCCCCTCTGATGATTGCTCGATTCCATGCTCCATCACCTTTTAATTTAATTTTTGAAAAATAGGTTTTATAATTTAAGCTTCTAACCTGCAAGAAAACTGTAACGAAAATTCCAATCAAAACTGAGTCAACTCTGAAACGCGAACCCCACACCAAAACTCGATTTTCAATCGAGCCAAAAACTGAACATGGTCGATAATCGAAACCGAGCTGATTCCAAACTCAAACTAATTCTGAATTGAATCCAAACGTGAGCGGCATCACATCACTATTAAACCAAGTATGAGTGCTTTGTGGTTGCTTGAGGTTGAGCATTTGTCGATTGCCATTGTATGAGCGTGAGAAGCGAGCGATTTGCGGTTATGTGCGATGAATTAATCGCTTATGGAAAAGCACTTTTTCTCTATTGTAGCTTATTCCCATTTCTTGTTCACCTTATTGTTACGTAGCTTTATAATTTTTTGCAGTTTCATTTTTTTTATTCCATTCACAGCCAATGTTTAAGATGATTATTCGTTTAAATGGTAACATGAGATGCATGCTAATACTTTATGTTTCAATTTATTAGATAGGCATGGGAAAACAAAAAATAGTTATGGGAATACGTAAGGTTGTAGTTTTGGTAATGATTGTGCCTAGGTAATAATGATTTTAATTTAAAATGGCTGAATAAATTAATAATCGATTAGGGTTTGTAGGAATTAATAATGGTTGAATAAATTAATTACTAAATCATAATTAAGGAAGTGTAAATAAATAATTATGATACAGTAAAAAAAATTAAATTAAAGAAATGGTTAGGGATTGTAATTACTTATATGTCCTTGAAAATCCATGTTAAAACCGATTTTAGTTGATTAATGACATAATTATGGTAGTAATCACTTTTATTATATTAAAATTAGAAAAATTATACAATAATCTGTATAATAAAAGTGTTCCAAATATAAGTGCATTGGATCCCAAATATATGCATTAAAATGGCCACTTACTGTTATGAAACATTTTATAAACATAACTTACTCACCTACATAACAGTTTATCGAGGCTATAAAATAAGTATAATTTTAATTCTTAATCAGAAAATGAAACATTGAAAGTTGAAGTATTCAATACAAAAATAAAATTGACTTGGTGAGGAGGACGTGTAAAAATGTTATAATTTCTTGATCCAACCAACTATCATATTGTGCAGTCAAGTTAAAAGCTACTACCAATTTGGTGATATGATGTTGGTTGAGCAAGGGTATGTGTCTATGTGGTGTGTAACCAAGTTAAATTAAAATTATGTTAAAAGCTATGCAATTATTATTCAAACAATTAGTCTAATAAAATTATGTGAAAGTTCTGTTTATGAGCTTCTCAACGCTTTGAACGACGCATCAAACGAAATCACAAAATTTCAATTACGACACTTTCCAAAACCTACTGCCAGCCATTCTCCCCGTCCTTGCTTGACGAACTCTTTTGGCTTTCGCTTCTTCCTCACTCGGTGAACCATTCACGAATTCCTTGTATGAAGCTCGCCCATCGAAATCCCTCGCTTGGGGCTCACCTTGAGCTCTCCTGACAAATTTTCTAGGATCTGCAATCTCCAAGTGCAATTTGCTACAATTACATCCCTTCCAAAGTCCAATTTTCAGTCATCATACTCATCCAATATACTACTCCGACCTGATTTATAAGTAAAAATGACAATTTTCACGCTTATTAAGATTGATAGTTAAGTGCATTTAATTTTCTCGATTTCATGTCAAAGAGATGTTATAATTACTAATATACCCTTAATTAAGTTGTCATCCACTAACAACATTAAGTAGTTAATGCAGGGATAGTTTTGGAATAAAGCATTAAATGCATCATGATTTTTTGACTTTTGCTTATATTTAAGGCCAAAAAATTTAGAAGACTTTTGCTTATAAATAAGGTCGGAGGGAGTACACCAAAATCACCATAATTCGAAACTCAACAACAACACATCAACTTATACATATCAATTTAGATCATGGTATATCAAGTATCAATCTTAACAATATGCTAAATCATGATCAATCAATAGAATCGACAAAATCTATATCAACCTTCCCCTCTCACTAATCATAATCAACCACGATTACCGACCCTTACCTTATTATTCTTAGCGATTGATCTCTTCAAGCTTCTAATGGATGGATACCTCTTACTCTTATGTACCCTAGCCTTACCTTTGTGTTCTCCAACTTTTGACATACCTCTGTAAACTGATTTCACTTTTCCTTATTCCCTTTTTAAAATGTCCCTCAACTATAGTGTACCTCATTTACCCTCACTTATTCTCATACAATTATCATCATGTCCCTAAAATCTCTACACACATAATATTAATTTTTATTTTATTATTTTATTAATAAACTACATAAAAGCTATTATTTAAATAATTCTAAATAATTCTCACCCATACTAACATTCTTACTAATGATCTAACACACACAAACATAAATCATATAATAATTATAATAAATATAAAAGCAACAAAATTCTAGATTTGGGGTGTTATAGTTGGTACCATTTTAGGTAATAATTTCCGAACATAAATTGAATACTCTCTCTATTTGTCTCTCTCACTCACATACTAACTTAAGCCTCATAGTGCTAATCTTGTAGGTACACCTCTGCTCCGTTGCATCTGAAACTCTTCATCACCGCAACTTCTATGACCATATTTATTTCTAGTTCTGATACGGAACAATAGCGATCAATGTTCACCACACCATTTCAACAACTTCTGTTACCGACCTCTATGTCGCCATTAAAAACAACGTGGAGTATAAGACATCCTAGAGAAGTTCCATTCGGGTGCTGCTTCCTTGAAAGAAAACCCCAACCCTAACTCTGGTTTTTTCTATTTCACTTGCTTTGCTTCTTTTTTCTTATTTTCTAACCTCTATTCATTGTTTGTCTAAGCCCTCTTTCTATAAAGAGGTTATACTTGACCCTTTTTGGAGGCAAGTTATGACATAAGAACTCTCTGCTTTGCTTAAGACAAATACTTGGGAATTAGTAAGTCTCACGTTTGAAAAATGTGTTATTGAGTCTCATTGAGTATACAAAATTAAAACTAAGTTTGATAGGTCAATTGAGCGCTACAAAACACATATTATTGCTAAGGGATTCTCTCCACAATATGATATGGATTATGAAGAAACCTTGACTCCAGTTTCCAAGATGACTCATATTTGCACCCCTATTGCAGTTTCATCGGTATGTTAATGACATATTTCTCGAATAGATGTTAAAAATGCTTTTCTAAATGGTGATCTTCTTGGGAAAGTTTATATGGTACCTCCGCCACATGTTTTTCATAATCAAAGAGATATGTATAAGTAGAAGAATGTTTTATATGGTTTGAAATAAGTTCCACGAGTTTGGTTTGAGAAGTTTTCCAATGCTATAACATCTTTTGGTTTCCAATGTAATGATCATGATTCGACTTTATTTGTCACCACTATCTCTCATGGTCTTATTTTATTTTCATTATATGTTGTTGATATAATAAATACAAATGATAATATTAATAGGATTGATGATTTGAAATTACAATTTACTAAATAGTTTAAAATGAATGATTTAGGGAATCTTCACTACTTGTTAGGATTGAAATTTGTCTGCTCTTCACTATTTCATTAAGGTGTGGTTTAGCTAATATTATGGATCCTAATCATTTTAATAGTTAATTACTATCTGAATTGAACTTGTTGCTCAAAACGTTACACAATTGCTTGCTAAGATAAACCCTAAAGCCAGAACTAGCGACTACACTACTCACCGCCGCTCGCACCGCCGGCTCCACCGCTCAACTAATACGGCTCAAACAACACAATACAGAACAAAAACAAAGACAACACCAATTTCTCCATTACCATCTTAAAATTTCAAACGCCGACAAATATTCTAGACAATGGCCGGTGGTCGATTCCGCGAGCTCCTGAAAAAGTACGGTAAAGTAGCGATTGGCGTTCACTGTTCCGTTTCAGCAGCTTCCGTCACCGGCCTCTACGTCGCCATAAGAAACAACGTCGACGTTGAAGCCATCCTCGAGAAGTTCCATTTGAGCGCCGCTTCGTCGGAAGAAAACCCTAACCCTAACTCTGATTCCGACTCTTCCGCCGTGCCGGTTAAGAGCCGCACGGCACAGATGGCGGCTTCGGCAGGCGGTGCTTTCACGCTAGCGTTACTCTGCAACAAGGCTTTGATCCCTGTTCGGGTTCCTATTACTGTAGCACTCACGCCCCCAATTGCGAGGTTCTTGGCCAGGAGGAACATTTTGAAGACTGGTGTATGAATGAACATGCATTTTGGTATGTGTTGTATTGTTTATTGTTGGTTGTTGATTTTTATAAGAACTTCAATAACGATGAGATGAGACCTAAAAGGGAATAATAACAAGGGGGTTTTGAAATTAGCAAACCCTTTGGTCTATGTTATATGCTTAGTTATCAATTTACTTTGTTGATTTTGATAATTTGGTGGTGAAAATTTTAAATTTTATGGATTCTCTGATTTTATAGGATTAGTTGCTATGTTAAGGTGTTTGTATTTGTTAAAGTTACTGAAGTTGAAGAGAAGCGGATAAGTAACTAGTGGATTGTTTGTTTTTGTGCTTGCGGATTAGACTTGATAATGGTATAATAATAACAAGAGAAATTTGATTTGATGAAGATTGCCAGAAGTGGCTTTTTGATTTTTATAGGCTAAATTCTGGACCTTTATTTGCTGTAGTCACTGCACTAAAAGGTCCATCAACATTTGATCTGAATCCCTAAATTTTTAGGTATAGTGGTAGGTAGAGTTGGATGTTTAGTAGATTGGTATGCTAAATTTTGATCTCCAGGGCAGGAGAGATGTGATGTAACTTTTTTCTACTCGGTTGATACCTGAGAGTTTGGTGACGTAGTGTGAGTCAGGGATATAGAGAATAGGTGATTTGCTTCCTACATGGTTAGCATCAAAGAATGTAATTGGTTACTGTTTTGTTGTTTCTTGCTCCTAATTAGCTTTTCATGTCTTATCTTTAAAGAGCTGAACCATAGTCTTTGGTTAGAAAGATCAAAGGATCCCTAACTCCACTCTGAATGCCCTTTGTGTTGGAATGATAAAATAGATTTCATAGTTATGCTGCAGAAATTGACCAACTCAACCCTTGAGTGATTCAGGAGTTTATTTTTATTTGCAAAAGGAATTTCAAGTGAGGCACCATTATAGGTTTCTAATAAATATAAATCATGCCGGTTAGTTGGCGTACCTTAAGAATGTTCTTGACCTTAATAGAGTTTCAACTTCTCTTGTTTAATAACCTACTTTATCTTTAGCCAATAATCTACTTTCACAATATAGATGATCCTTGTTCTTCTGAAATCTCAAGTTTATTTTGAAGGTATTGATAGTCCCATTACTCAAAAAACTTAGGCATAGTGTTTTTATTAGAGATGATCACAGTCATTGGATTATTGACTTCATGAATGAACCTGGTCAAGTAAATGGTATTTTGACATAGTTTTGTACTATTTTGGAAACGCTAAAATTAAGTTATTCTTCCCACTTTCTGGTTCATTCAGATTCAGAGTTGGCAACTCTTCTTGAAAACACTCTTGGTCTCATTGTCATCAATATGTATCTAGGTGATCCCTACAATAAGAAAAAGAATGGCTTGTTATTCAGCTGAACCACCAGTTAAAGGGTTTTAGGACAAGTTTGAGTTGATCAACGCTGAGGGTAATGCAAGGGACTCTTGCAGCAGTTTTATCAAGAACTTCAGATGACACTTGCAAACCCTACTATACTGTATGTTTTGCTGAGTTCATTCTCTTTTAACATAACAACAACATGATTAAGAATCCAAGATGCCCGTCGAAGTTTATTCTATATCTACTGGTTGAAAAAGTTTATCAAAAGTAATTAACTAATAAGTTGGTTGGACAGTTTGCAATTGCTTTTCCTTCCCTATCAGGACAACGCAATAGGAGAAAAGCAAGAATGTGAACTAGCATAAGCTTTTATTACTTGTTTCCATAGTATTATAGGTTCGAAGTAGGTATATTCTGGTAATCCAGGTTTCATGGTTGATTGAATCCATCCTTTCAAGCTGGATATTTTTCTTCAAGTTTATGGTAGGAGCCTCAAATATGGGCTCAAACACATTGCTATAATAGACAAATATTCTTGAACTGGCTTTACTACTTGCTGTGCCTTTCGAAGCATTATCAACGCTAATATCAGTTTAGTTCTTAGAAAATTCCCATGGGACTACCCTGTTTGTGTTGAGAAGGTCCCCACAATGTACATATACATTAATAGTCCCTGAGATAACCCGAATGGCTAATGAAACAAAGCTTATGCAAGGTTTCTCATAAGCTGATGTCCTCTGATGCTCTGTGATGCATCCCAATTTACTCGTTTACGTATTCATAAGTTTGTTTAATCTTGATAGTTGATACACATACAGAAGTTATAGCGACTAGATTTGTACAACCTTTCTAAGCGAAAGGTATACGGAAATTCAAGGAATGGTTTTTGAAATCATATGAATAATTAATACCGTTAAATCATCTATTTAGTTAGTAGACTAATTTGAATTGTTTAGCTCAATAAAGGGATTAGTTGTGGGATTAACCTTTTAAATTAAGGCACATGTTATATTCGTTTTACTTTGCAGAGTAGTATTTTCCTTAAGCAACAAAAGTATTTTTTCTTGTCACCTCAGAACACAAACAAATGTGTGAAAATTCTAAATAATTCCAATTGCAAATTAGGCTTTCCCTTTTTTAAATTCCACCACTCTTGAAGGGTTTTGGATTGTCTCCCGTGACAAATCTAAAAAATTTAAGGGCTTAGATTTCACTTCAAGGAAATGTCATTGGAGAGAATCTGCACCCGTACTCTATTTTCATTGAACAATATTCATTATAAAAATCAATAACCATTGAAAAAAGCTATCATGGGATCATAAACGACTGGTTTAGCCGTGACACCCATAACAAAATCAGCATGTACATAATCGTCATTGAACAACACCACAAGCTAGTCAGCATCATGATCTTGGAGGTCATTGAGCAAAACCTTCACATCTTGCACATCACCTAGCATATCTTTCTCTCCATAGCCAAGAAAAAGTGGCAATTCATTTGGGATTTTGGTCAGGTCATAATTTGGAGGAACTTGTTGACCATAATGTTGTACATTTTGTGCTTGATCAACATAATCATACTTTTGCGATATTTCCTGTTCTGATCACTACTCAAATTCCATCATTCAAGAGCCATGAAATTAAAAAATAACCATTAGTCCTAATCTGAAATGCATAAAAATATAAAATGTTGGTTCTTTGTAGACTTACTTTGAGAAAAATGGATCAAGTTCTTGGTTGATGTTGGATGTAGTTCATGATCAAGATACACATCTATCCTAGAAGAATTTATGCAACAATTTGGACCTGTAATATTTAAAGATAATTATAAACACCAAAATAAAATCAATAAACATTAAGTGAAATTTGCTTATGAGTAGTAACATCTAAAGTACCTGTGAAAAGTGACATTAGGTTTGCGCAATTCAGGTGTAGAGTGTTGCATATGTCTTCCAAAAACTTTGCTCCAACATCCCTACTCATTAGAAAAACATCTAATAAATCATTTCCAATTTTTTTCACCTTTTTCATTTGCACTCAAACATATTTAACAAATTTAGAAAAAAAGAAAAGAATTTTTTATTCTCTTACGCATTAGGATTGAATTCACGGATTCCTAACCAATATATATCCTGTTATTTATAAAAAAGGAAAAATATTTTAGAAGAATAATTTTTATACAATTCATTTATTGTAAAAAAATTTATACCATCAATATTTGTATTTTTGACAATAAAAAATATGAATTAAATTTATATTTTAATACAGAATTTAGCTAAATATTGTAGTATAGTTTTCTCTCTCTCTCACACTTACATTAGCTATAAATAGGTCAGCAGCAAGTTTTGTAACAATTGAAGAAATTTGATTCATATGGGCAATTGGACTAAGTAGTGCAACTGATCTCAACATATCTAAAAGTTGTCCTTGTGATAAAGCAGCAAAAGCCATTAAAGTTCCCTAAAATATTTACATAATTAATTGTTACATACACACTAATTAATTAAAAACATAAGAAATAAATAGTAAATAATAAGGATTAATTAATTACTCACTTGAGAATGACCAACATAGTGCATTTTTTGACCAGTATAGTTGTAAACATATTCAACTGAAGCAGGGAGATCATAACTAGCTAATTCATCCCATGACCAATCCCAATAAGCCTAATAATACATAATCATAATCAATTAGAAATAAATCTATTAATTAAGTTGTGAAAATATGAATATAAGTATAATTAAGAACCTTGTCATTAGGAGTTAATGATGTGTGCATGGTGCTATATTTTGTGGCGCGACCATTGAAAAGCCACACATCATATCCACTGTCTGCTAAAATAAATCCCAATGATTTTCATATTACAGCATCCTGAAAATAATTATACGAGTCAAACACGTTGACTTTTCATATACAATATTGTATATGTATTTTGAAACAATAAAACTTACACAAAAGAAACCAGCTGTAATAGCACAGGTGGGCCTCGCGGGTAGTCTCTGCAAGCTCAGGATGAAACCATCCTGTGTTGTAACCTGAGTCATCAAAAAAATGCTTTTAATTAAATCTATGATTTAAGTTTGTAGCATACATTATAAAATTACATGGTATGATTTATTTACCTTATGTTCTTCACATGTGTAACCTTGTGTTTCTACCATAGTTTTGCAGATACCGTCATCGTTGTTAACTAGAGACGATGCTGAAAATTGATTGCTAGTGTGAAGTGTTTCTCTTCCCTGTGCTATTGTAATGCAAAGCAAGAGTATTGAGATAAGACTCACTTGAACTGTGATGGCCATATTGACAATGTTGTTGTTATACATGCTTCTCCATAGAAACATATTTTATAGGCTTCTTAATTTGGACGGTGAAAACAAAATTGAAGACAAATTTGTACTTTAATAGTTAATTATAATTTGTAGCACATTCTTCTGCCAAATTAGTTTTCAATCAATAAGAAAATGACATGGATAAGATAATTACTACGTTAGTGATTTTGATTATCACAAGTTATTATATAATATTTGTTTATTTTGGTAATTTGAATTAACGTAACTCTAGTGAATGTTATTATAACTGTTGGAATATTGGTCTTGGAGGAGAGTTGATTTGTCATGTAGGAATGTGTGAACATTTGAGTTTGACATTAAATTATACTACTAGGCATTAAGACAAGTCAGGAACAACAGTAGAATAAAATTAAACTATTGTAAATTAAACTATAGTATAAATAAAAATTTCTAAAATTAAAAAAATATTTTATAATTATTTATAGTTTATAAATGAAAAGTTATAATAATATTATAATTTGTCTTTACTATTAGCGGTATATAGAAAAATATTTTTATCAATAGTATATATTTTTTTATTTTTTTATTTTTATTACATGTGAATTTAATTTTTTTAACTTTATTCTTTTAATTTATTATAAACAATTTTTTATTTCTAAATTATAATGTTAATTTAAAAATAATAGAATTTGTTTTAATATATTTGTAACTTACCAAAAATTCAATCTTTAAATATATAATATCAAGTAAGAAATTAAAACCAAAGTCTTTTTTGAAGTTGCTCGACACTAACGATGTAAGTCGTGTGTGTTATTCTTTCTGATTTAAGTAATTTTTGTTTATCTGTTCTATTAATTATGCAAAATTGAATGATATAGCATTCATGGGGCAAATATGATAGAGAAAGTGTTAAATTTGTAATTCTTTGAATGATATTAATATTCTTCATTCACCTCATGTCTCTATACTTTTAGCCACACACCCCTACACCTTAATATCTACAATTCTCACTACTTCTAATCTTTCAATAATTTCATCAAAACACATATAAACACATCATAAAATTCATCAACTCATATAAATACATCACATCATCCAATTATTAAATAAAATAATTCCAACTAATTCATAAGAATACACTGCACTATAATTATTTAATTAAAAATAATTCTAATTAAATTGAGGTGTTACAAACATCTTCAAAAAATTCTTCCTTTATTTTGTCCCTTTTTGGATTGGTATAAAATCATACGACTATCACAACCACATAAATTTTCAGATCTAGATTTTATAGTGGAAGAAGACATAGTAACACCTTTGGATGAGTTTGTCTTTAAATGTGACATTGAAATGAAATTGGACAACAACAATGAGTGTGAGTGTTGTTGTCTTCTTCCCGACGATGACGACGAAGTTGGTGTTAGGGTTGTTTCTTTTATCAGTTGAAAAATGGATACTTAGTGTTTAATATATATAAAGAAGCGGCAGTATGTAACAACGACTTTACAAAAGAGCAATAGTGATATCCCTATTATTTTTTAATTAAATATAAATATAATTGAAACGATGTATATTAATGTAAAAGGGATAAACTATTTTTGAGGATCGAACCCAGGAAAGCTGGATTGTATCACCACGTTTATGAAATTAACCGTAATTATAACCTTAAAATTTTTAATTAAAAAATAAAATAAAAATTAGCGCATGAGTTTAGAAGTGTCACCACAGTTTTGAGGCGAACCGTGGTGAGTTTGGCGTTATTGTATGTGTGTTTTGTAGTAGTGAGATTTAGACGGCAACAATTATTTTAGTTCATTTTAGTAATTATTTATCATTTTATTATAAGTGATATCTTATTAATGTGTTTTGGTGTCTAATATATACATTTTATAGTTTTTCAAAAAAATTACGCAAATTTATGTTTTTGTTCTATTTATGTTTTGTTATACCATGGAAGTTTTCAGAAATACATCTCCAGAAAAAAATGAATAAAGGGGGGTTCCGGAGTTACATTTCCGGAACCTTCTTTGTCACAAGATAGAATTTGTGAGGTCCATGTTAGCCTCCAACTATTATAAATAAGCTCACTTGGCATATTTTTTCATACCAAAACACCAAAAACTATAATGAACATCATTTGGCAGGTTGGAAATATTCACTATACCAACAATATACCATCAAGAGAATTTAAGATCACCGAGCACACCCTCTTGAAGATCTCCAATACACACTACAGGACCATCTATCATATGGCGACAATCGCAAAATTGTGAATATCGAGTACCGTCGTCATCTTTTGACAAATAAGGGAAGCTTAAGTTCAGCAACCATGAGCTGAAGACGACTCCTGATTTAATGGCTACGTGGAGAACCTTCTTTCGTTTAGAAGCAAAAGTTTTGATTGAGCTGAAGATGACTGCTGATTTAATGGCTATGTGGAGAACCTTCTTCCGTTTAGAATCAAAAGTTTTGATTGAGCTGGATGCGACTGTTTCAAGATCGGTCGATGATATTATCAAGATGTTACAATGTCCATCTGGATATTGAAGTGTAATGTTTGATCTATGTTAAAATCTCTTATGTATTGTTGATTTTATGATATCAATGATATTTTAATTTTGTCAAGTTGTTGTTTTCATTTTGTTTCTGCTTTTTGCTACGCAAAATCTCGGAAATAGACTTTCGACATTATTTTGAATATGCATCTCTGAAACAATTGATAGTTGCGTAAATATTTAGTGCGTCCGGAGATATATCTCCGAAATCTGAAAACATTTTAGTATTTTCGCGCGGTGCTCCAAAAAATCATAGTGTGCATACAAAATTCTCTTTACAAAATCCACCTACTACAACTTTGAGGCCCCGTACTACAATTTTGAGGCACAAGATCGGCCTTGTGCTTAGTGGAAGGTACAATTAAACCTCATAAATACATACACATGTTAGCACAATAAAAAAACATATAAACATGCACGGAAGATGCTAGTAAAATATATAGTCAATATATTATTTTGGTGTAGTTTTTTTACCGTTTGTTCTTTTTATCTTTTTAATTAGAGAGAGCCTAAATCCATACATTTTGTCCTTTTTTAAAACGTATAATTGCAAACAAAGCGTATATATATATATATTTCAATTATTAGCCTTTACTTTTTTCAATCTTATAATTTCAATTTTATTTCAACTTTTTTCTTTTAAAAAAATAAAATAAAATATCATATATACAAAAGAAATAGATTTTGAAAAAAACCTCTTATAAATTTTTAAAGTAAGTGAGTTGAATTTTACACGATGATTGAGTTGTTTGTGAATTTCAAACAAACAAATTTGAATTTAAAAAAACTCATATCAAATTCAAGTCAAACCAAATTGAAACAAATTCAACTCAATTCGATTTATTTTCTAACTCTATTAATAGTTACCCATTTTATCATTATTAATTTATTTCCATGTTTGTGTATGTGACAGTATGTTTTTACTAATCAAATGGTACGAGTAATAAATATATTGGGTTGACCTATTTATATTCTTAGGACAGTGGTAGATAACGCAGCAAGAATTGCAAAGAATGGATTTTTTTGAAGTGTTTGACTTGGATATATCTATGGAGCTTCCAATCAAAAATAAATTACATCAACAAATGTGTATTTTGTATTTTATTTCCTTCAAAACTTCCATCAAATCAACATTTGATCTCTACCTTCATTGTGATGGACATAAACTAAACACCATCTAAATAAACATGTATTTAAAGAGAAAATCTACCATCAAAGACCCTATTAATTATGTTCTATTTTTTTTGAATAGATGGATTAAATTTACTTATCTAATATATCAAGTGTCAAAAATATATAAATTAAATTTATTTATCTAATATATTTAGTATTAAATTATCAGTCATCAATCATCAATTATAAATTATAAATTATCCCTCAACCACTATTTTTATCGAACAAACTCTATATATTAACTTGAAAGATGATGAAGTGACTAGAACTCATTATTAGTCTTCATCTTCCAAAAGTTTACAACCTATAAATAATTCATGAATCCTGATTAGTTCTCCTTCTTTTTTCTTTTTTATTTGTATTTTTTATGGATCCTAATTTTGTGTTATAAAATTTAGTTGGCATAGGCCCTCATGATTATGTAGGTTTGGGTTTATTATTTAACTATGATCGGAGGAAGTATCTATTAAGTTAGAGGGTTGGACAAATACACCATGGTATATGATAAAGTGTGTACGGTATATGATAAAATCGGTTAGCAAGATTATTTCAACGGCCCTTTTTAGAGGTCCACCGATGAGGGATTTGATATGATTCTCATTCTAGAAGCCACCTTTATCCAGTTATACAATTTCTACTATATATTTATTTTCTATATACTAATACATATATGAACACTCTTTTTCCTTTTTTGTTTCTGCAAAAAAAAATTATTTTACACTCTTTCATTTTTTTAATCATGTTAAAATATATATTTCATTTTACATTGATAAACATAATTCAAAATAGTAATTTAAAATATATTTTAATTTTATGAATGTATTTTTTGTATTTAATGTGGTTTTTATATAAAAAATTAATAATAATGTAATACTTTGCATCTTATAAAAAACTACAAGGTATTTTTACATAATTATTAAATTGAGAAAAAATAATAATAAGAATTAAAAAACTTTATAAATTCTTTAGAAATAATAAAAATAAAATTCGTCATAAAGAGAGTGATGTATTATTTTGTTATGAAACTTAAATATAATGTTGATTTTTTTTACTTGAGGTGTTAAATGTTGAATTTTTTTTTTGCAATAATCAGGTATTGAAATTTTTTTCCGCAAATAACCATGTTTTAGAGAAAATTACGCAAATAATCATGTTTCAGAAAATCCTACAAAGGAAGAGACAAGTGAGATGGCGCATGCACTGGCCCATTTTCTCTAGGCGCCATCTCACTTGGCGCATGCACTCTATTTTAGCCAAGTGAGATGGCGCATGCACTCTAAA